GGGCGCACGGACGGGGGGGAGGGGGGGGGGGATGTGTGAGCGAGGGGCGCCGGCCAGCGACAAGCGCATTCCGGGACGTACGAGGTGGCCCTTGCTGTTCTTCAGCTCGACCTCGGGAATCGAAGACTCCGGGGTGTCGAGGTGGATGCTGAGATCGCCGGGATTCAGACCGAAGAGGGACATGGTGTATGTGCGCGCGAGGGGGGGGGGGGGGGGGGGAAAAAGAGGGGAAGGGAGAATGGGGGGGGGGGACAAAAGAGAAGAGGGAGGGGCAGGATACGCCGCGCTGAGGGGGGTATCCGGGCCGGCGCGGCGGCCCCGGCAGCTGGGGCAGGGCTCCTCAAAATGATCGCACCGCCCTGACGACCGAACCGGTGGGGCGCGGGGCAGTGTGAGCCATGGGGGCACGTCCGCTGAGAGTCGAACGCCTCCCCACACTAAAGGGACCGAACGGGGGGGGGTCGGGGCGAAGGGACCCATCCGGGCATCTGTTTCGGTCGCCCAGCGTCCGGATGGACTTCCCAGCCCCTGCCCCGCCCGGCAGCGTCAAAGAAAAGTGGCTTGCCGCGTCCCCGGCCCCGCTCTCCGGCCCCATGTCGGAGGGCCCAAGACCCTTGGGCCTGTGAAAAAGGCGTCCCTCGCAAGATGGGCCGACAGCCGAAATGCGGGCGCAAACACCGGTCTCCCCCCCCCCCCCCCCCGTGCTTTTGGCCATGAATATGCGCACGGGTACATCCACGGACGGCAGGGCGGGTATATGTGTCTGCGCGGGAAATAAATAACAATATACAGAGTTCTGGCTATTTGCCCTCCCCGCTCCCCAGCCCGGGGCAAGCGCTCCCTTCCCCCCCCCCCTCAAGCAGGGCACAGGCCCGCCAGAAGAGGCATATCCCAGACATCCTCTCGCCCGGCGGAGACGGCCAGCAACTCCGGCAGCCCCCCGCCCCCCGCCCCCCCTCTGTAGCACCTTGCCGATGTGTGGATGTGCTTGCCACACACGGATGCTCACTTGAAGAGGCCTCCCCCCCCCCTCCCCAAGGGTCAATACGGCGGACGATACGGCCCCGCCAGGTCTCTGCCCGGGGGGGGGGGGGGTGCGCCCCGTTCGGCGCTGCGAGATCCACCGGACCAGGGCGTGATCAGAAGTCTCCAATCACACCGCGACTGATCACAGTACCCATGCGCCTGTATCGAAATGCCATTCGGGAAATCTAGAAAGATCCATCTCCACTCTTGGCCGGGGCCCCGGAGCATCGAGAGAAATCCGCGTCCCGCGATGGAGCGAGACGAGCCGAGGGGTCCTCCTTCCCCCCAATGCTTCGGGGTGGGGTGAGGGGGCGGGGGGGGGGGAGGGGGGGGGGGTGAACGGGAGGTGTTGCATGTTCCCTGTCGTGTTGGGCAGAGACCGGTGCCGGTGGTCCCACGTGCGGCCGTCTTCTCTCCCTGGCACTTCTTCCCCTTTTGCCAGGGCTTTTTTGTGCCCCCTCGGGGGCGGGGGGAGACAGGGGCCCACGCTCCCTGCATGTACGCCTGTACATGCGTGCCCGCGCGTGCCGCTCGCCCGGACCCACAGAGGCCCAGTTGTCGCCTCTCCCGGTCTTCCTTTTTTCTTTTGTGAAGTCCGAATGTCCTATATGCGTCCGACGACACAGAGGAGGGGGGCGCGGAGCACGGGGGCGGGGGGGGCGATACTTCTCCAGTTCCAGGCGCCCGCCTTCTCGATTTTTCGCCCGGATGGGTGGGCAGGATGTTTCGGCCATCCTCGCGGGCCTTCCTGCCCGGAGTCCCTCCCGCCTCCGGGCTGTTGGAACTTGGCGGTTCCCCCGCCGGGAGAGGGCGGGACAGAGAGAGCAGGACCGGGAGGGGGCGAGAGGGGGCGGGAGGGGGCCGCGGAAACATATTTATGTCCCCCCTCCGGCCGAGCTGGCTCTTGCCTACCCTCCAACCGGAATTGGCCCTTGTCTTATTTCTAGTTCGCGTTTGTACGCGCCCCCCCCCCTCTGTCCCCCTCCTCCCTCTCCTCGGCTTTGCCCCCCCCCCCCTGCATCGCCCCTCTCCTCCCCACCACCTTCCGCAGCCCCAGCTGACCCCTCCGTTCTGTCCCCCGTTCCCCCCCCCCCCCTCCCAGCCCTACATCCACCATGTACCGCGCCGCCATCGTCTCCCGCCGCCTCGCTCTCTCTGCCAGCGTGAGCAGCAGCGCCCGCGCCTCCGTCAGCGTCGGCGCCCTGGCCACCGCCAGCCGCACCTACTCCACCGGCTCCACCCAGGACATCGTCTTCGGTGATGAGGCCCGCCACAAGATGCTTGCCGGTGTCAACAAGCTGGCCGACGCCGTGGCCGTGACCCTCGGTCCCAAGGGCCGCAACGTCATGATTGCCCAGCCCTTCGGCGGCCCGCGCATCACCAAGGATGGTGTCTCCGTGGCCAAGTCCATCAACCTCTCCGACAACCTGGAGAACCTCGGCGCCAGCCTCATCAAGTCCGTCTCCTCCAAGACCAACGACCAGGCCGGTGATGGTACCACCACTGCCACCGTCCTCGCTCGCGCCATCTACAGCGAGGCCAACAAGTATGTTGCCTCCGGTGTCAACCCGATGGAGCTGCGCCGTGGTATCACCGCCGCCGTCGACACCGTCGTCGAGAGCCTGCGCGGTCTCTCCAAGCCGGTGTCCTCCAATGCCGAGGTCGCCCAGGTCGCCACCATCTCCGCCAACGGCGACACCGAGATCGGCAACCTCATTGCCCAGGCCATCGAGAAGGTCGGCGGCAACGGCGTCATCACCGTCTCGGCTGGCAGCACCCTCAACGACACCCTGACCGTGCGTTCTTCTTCCTTTTGCTGCCTCCCGCTTGCCACCCCCTCCCCCCTCCCCCTGCTTCTGTGTGGGGCCTCCAGTCTGCTTGGCTCCTTCGCTTCCTTCCCCATTCCACCCACTGACCCCGGACCGCTTCTTCCGCTCCTCTGCTCGTTCCCTGGCGCTTGGCCATGTGCAGTTCACCGAGGGCATGCGCCTTGACCGCGGTATCACCAGCCACCACTTCGTCAACGAGATGAGCACCTTCCGCGCTGCCTACGACGACGCCAACGTCTTCCTCTTCAGCACCAAGGTACGCCCTGACATTGCTTCCTCCCCCCCTGCTCCCGCTCCCGCTCCCGCTCCTCGCCCCCTGCGCCTCTCTCTCATGCACATGTGTGCTGGGCATTTCCGGCCATCCCTGGATGCTGACCCTATTTCCCTTTCCACCGACTCTCCCCTCCCCCCGCTCCTGTGTGGAATCGATCCACCCTCCCATCGGGCATGATGTGCTTGCATGCGCAGCTCAACACCGCCACCCAGATCCTCCCCGTCCTGGAGCTCTCCCTCCGCCTGCGCAAGCCCCTGCTCATCGTGGCCGAGGACTTCTCCGACGAGGCCATGGCCACCCTGATCGTCAACCGCATTCGCAGCGGTCTGCCCCTGGTCCCGATCAAGGCCCCGAGCTTCGGTGAGAACCGCGCTGCCATCCTCGAGGATGTGGCCATCTCCACCGGTGCCAAGCTCTTCGGCCTCAACCCGGAGGACACCACCACCGACATCACCGAGGCTGACTTCGGCCATGTCAAGTCCTTCGTGGCCACCCGCGACCACACCACCCTCTTCAACGGCGGTGGCTCTGCCGAGGCCATCGCCAAGCGCATCAGCCTGATCGAGTCGTCCATCGAGCACACCAAGTCCTCCTACGAGCAGGAGAAGCTCCGCAGCCGTCTGGCCAGCCTTTCCGACGGTGTGGCCATCATCAATGTCGGTGGTTCCTCCGAGATTGAGGTCGGCGAGCGTCGTGACCGCTTTGCCGATGCCCTGAACGCCACCCGCGCCGCCGTCCAGGAGGGCATCGTCCCCGGTGGTGGTGTTGCCCTGCTCAACGCCTCCAAGGCCCTCGACTCCCTGAAGCTGGACTCCTTCGACCAGCAGCGTGGTGTCGAGATCATCAAGAAGGCCATCCAGGCTCCGGCCCGCCGGATCATCGAGAACGCCGGCCTCGACAGCTCCCTCATCGTCTCCACCATCCTCAACCAGGCTGACCCGCACCACGGCTTCAACTCCGCCACCGGCGAGTACTGCAACATGATCGCCGCCGGTGTCATCGACCCCACCAAGGTTGTCCGCACTGCCATCAGCGACGCCTCCGGTGTTGCCTCCCTCATGGCCACCACCGAGGCCATCGTCGCCGACTCCCCCAACAAGGCCGGCGGTGCTGGCCCCATGGGCGGCATGGGTGGTATGGGCGGCATGGGCGGCATGGGCGGCATGGGCGGCATGGGCGGCATGATGTAAAGTGCCCGTCTGCTGCGCATGTGGAGCACGCGCATGCCCCCCCTCCCCCCTCTCTCTCTCTCTCTCCCCCGGAGGTGTGGATGTGTGTGCGTGCGTGCGCGTCAGCCCGGGGCCGTGGGTGCCTGCTTCCCTCGCCCCCCTGGCCCCCCCCCCCTTCCCCCTCTCCCCTCCTTTGCCCTTGTACTTCCTCCTTCGCTCTCCTCCTTCCTCAATCCACCATGCTGGCGTTTGTAAACGCTCGCGGGTAAATCCCCCTCCCCACCCCCCCCCTCCCCCTTGCTTGTGCGATATCGCTACCATCTGCTTCTCCGCCTGCTTCGCTCTCCTGGGGGCGGGGGCCGGTTGTGTGCCCTCTCTTCCAAGGGGCTTTGGATGATGGTGTGTGCGTGTGTGCGTGTGTGTATGCGTGCGTGCGCGCGTGTGCATGCATGTTTCGCACTCTCCCCTCAACTGTGCCCCCTTCCGCGGCCAATATACAGCCCTCTCCCTTTCCACTTTTCCTGTCTTCTTCTGTCCCAGGGCGGCGTGGTAGCACCCGGCGTGGAGGTTGGCTTTCTATTTTCTCTCCCACCCTCTCTGGCAGCTTTTCACCTTCTCCAGGAGGCGGCACAGGCAGCGGCCGGTACTACTTCTTGCTGGCCTGGTGTGCCTTCAGGCGCGAGGGGCTCGGTCCGGACACCACAATACCCAAGCCCTGGACAAATCGGGGAGAGGCATGGCCCGGCACCGATGCATCGGATGTCCCACCGTTGACAGATGCTTCGCCGCTGGGCTCCTCCCTGGCAGAGACACGGTCGGTCCGACTGCCCTTTCCGAGCACCTGGCGCAGAGGCTTCCACCCCTTGCTGGAGGGAGGATCTCCGGCAGCGGCAGCCGGAGCGGCGGCGGTGGCGGTGGTGGCATCGGGCGACGTGGCATGGGGCCGCCGCGACCGAAGACCCTCCACTGCTGGCCCCATCAGCGTGACATTCAGGTTTTGCGCTGGAGCGCGAGTCGGTGCCGCTGCGAGGGCGGCCATCGCCTCGGGCGTGAGATTCAGCTGCAGGGAGCCGGGCGACCTGGTGGAGGGGGGATAATCGGCAGGGCCCCGGGTCTCGGTAGCCGGCCCCGGGGCCACTGGAGGGTGCCTGTTGCTGGTGGTCGGAGTTTGACCGACGGGGGTACCCGGTGGTCCTCGGCGGAATCGCGCGACCGTGAGGGCTGTGCATGGGATGGTAAGAACCAAGTGCCGATGGGGGGGGGGGGCGCGCGTGCAAAAGCCAAAGGCCACGAGCAAGAGACAGCCAGTCCCCAAGGGCCGACGCACCCAGGGCGATGACAAACAGGAGAGCCAGGAAGGCCAGCCCACGTAGGACTTCCGGCTTGGAGACGGCTGTCAAAAGTGCCTGCAAGCGGGCTGACAGATCCTCCGCCAGTGAAGGCGGCAGAGGAGGCGCGGGCGGGGGCGTAGGCGGGCTGGGCGCCACCATGAAGTCCGTCAGCCCTGCGCGGATCTTCGCCAGCCGGGCAGCCAGATCTTCGGTCATCATTGCGGTCGTGGGGATGCGCGCGTCTAAAGGGAGGGTGGGGCAGAGCCGGCAAGATGTGCTACGAGTGCGGATGCGGGTGCGAGTGCGAGTGCAGGTGCGGGTGCGGGTGCGGGTGCGAGTGTGCGAGTGTATGTGTTTATATGTGTAGGAGCGTGGAGGGGG